CTTGGGAAAAATGTCTTTCCTGAAAGGGCTGTCAGGCACTGGAAGGGGCTGCCCAGGGAAGGGGTCGAGTCCCCATCCCTGGGGCTATTTAAAAGCCGGGCAGAGGAGGTGCTTAGGGCCAGGGTTTAGTGGTGGGATGGCAGGGTTAGGGGAATGGTTGGGCTTGAGGATCTTAAAGGGCTTTTCCAATGAAATTATTCTATGATTCTATGAATTGTGTAGCCAAATGACAGCCCCCAGGTGCCACCCCAAAGCACTGGTTGGGTTAAACCACTTCTCTAGGCTGAGTCCAGGGCTCTCAGGGCATCCACTGCTCAGCTGGACTCTTGCCTGCAGCCTAACGCCATGGACGGAGGTCAGCCTGGCTCCCCGTAGGCATGCTGCCTGTGCGGCCAGTGGCATGGAGCAGGGTGCTGCAGGAGAAGGAGGGAGAGCTGTGAGCATGGAAAACCACACCTGGACTGGCCAGGAATGCTGAGCATGTGGACATGTCAGCCGCCGTGTGCTGAGGCCATTGCAGGGTACCAGACCCTTTGGCTTTGCTTCTCCGCCACAATTTCTTACTGATGCTGCAGGGCTGATTCTGCTGGGAGCTGAGCTCCAGCCAGATGAGCAAGAGGTGCAGGATTTCCTCCATTTCCCACTAGCCTTGCCTGCCTGTGCAATGCTATTGCTGTTGGTGTGCCAGCTTGGCTACGGGTTGTATGTACCCAGATCAGTGGGATCTTTCTGCTCTGCCCTTCTGCCTGCCCTTGGGACTGCAGAAGAGGCTCGGAGAGCACCTGCAGGCAAGGACACCATCCCTGTGCATCTGCTGCCCTGCTGTGGCATCGCCAAGAACTGAGGAGAGCTGGGCCAGGCAGGAGACACATGGCTGGAGATGCTGTTCCCTTGCCTGGAGGAGAGAGGACCCTCTCAAGGGCAGTCTGGGACTGTTGGGCAACAGATATCACCTGATGGTCCCAAATCTCGTGTTTTTGTGAGGGTGCAGGGTACAACAGTAGTATGTGGGTGCCAGAGGGATGCAGTTCTACATCCACCCCTGGAGGGGATGGCCACACTGGGAACCTGCCAGGGCCTGGTCCTGCTCCCAGTCTGGGACTCCTGTTAGCCACTGCTGTGCTTGCCCCGGTCATGCTGCTGCGGAGATGCTGACCTGCCACCCAGCTGGTAGTCTGAGCAAGGCAGAGGGATGGGGTCCAGGCTGTGTGCAGAGAGGGGCCTGAAGGGCTGCAGTGGAGAAGGCAGGGCTGAAAAAGCCAATCTGAAAATCCCCCAGGGAGGGAATGCTCAGAAGGAGAGCCCCAAGACTGCCAGAAGCCTCCTGTAAGAGCAGCCATGCACTGGAGAATGGCGTCAAGCCCTTATTAGGGAAGGAGAAAGTCCCATCTTGACAGGTCCCATATCTGTTCTGGAGGATCTGTTCCGAGCTGGAGGTTGGGGCTGTTCTTGCAGGTTGGAGGAGGAATGGAGTACAAAGCCAAGGCTGTTGCAGGTCTTCTGGCAGCCACCTGTGTCTTCAGCATCATTGTTTCTGCCTCCCCGCAGCAAGGTAGGGTCCTTGGGAGGAGCGTGGATGCCCACTCTCACTTGGGTGCTGGCTGCCCCTTGGACTTACCCCAGGTTTCAGGCAGGCTGTGCCTGTCACCGAGATGGGGACAAACCCGCGTGCCAGCTGGCGTGCTGGGTGGGTGGGCAGGGTTTGGGCACCGTGACTGGCCCTGCAGCACATGCAGCCTTTTCATCACAGAGCATTGCCAGCTCAAAAGGCTTGTGAAGGAGCCTTGCCCTGGCACAGCTGGCAACTGCCACGCTGCAGGGCTTTCCCTGCTCTGGTGACACTCTTCGTTTGCCCACTCACAGTTCCCCTGCCCACCAGGAGCTCTGCTGGCTCTCCTGGAGCTCCGCTTGCTCTGCGGTGTGTGAAGGTGGTCTGCACCCCCTGACACCCCGTGTCCCTTCTGCCTCCCCCAGTACGGTCTGGTGTTTGATGCTGGCTCCACGCACACATCTCTGTACATCTACCGGTGGCCCGTGGACAAGGAGAACGGCACTGGCATCATCTCCCAGGTGGAGACCTGCACTGTGTCCGGTGAGTGTGCCGGAACGTGTCCATCCCCCTCCCCCGCCCCTGCTCAGCTGGGGGATGCTGGGGCTCACCAGCCCCGGTGCTTGCCAGCGTTGGCTGTCCTGCAGCGCCACATCGAGTTGGCTGGGTCATGCCAGGCATGGTAAACGGTAAATGCCCCAAAGGGCATTTATTTATTGGGCATTTATAAATACACAAAGGGCATTTATTCCTATTGCAAAGGTGCTGTTGGGCTTTGGCACAAGGACTGGTCTCTCTGGAGGAAAGGAACAGGCTAATGAGGGGACGTAGGGTCAGCTGAATGGTACATGGAGCTGGGCAGGGGCTGGTAAAGGTGACCAGGTCAGGGCAGAGGTGCCCAGGCAGGGGGTGAGAGGGCTCAGAGTTCACCTCAGCCGCAAATGCAGGTTCTGTGGCAGTGGCGTGGTGGTTACTGGTTAACTGCAAAAATCTGGCAGAGGGCAAAGTGTAACAGAGAGGGTGGGGGGCGCTAATGGCAATAATGGTGTGCAAACCTCGGGGGAAGGTAAATAGTGATATTTCCACCCCAGAATCTGTCTCTGCCCACTGCAGGACCATGCTGGGTGCTCAGATCTGGTGCCAGCTCCTAAAAATAGGAACTCAAACAAGCTGTGCAGAGGGCACCTCTGTGTGTGCATATCGGCACCGCACGCCTTCCCGGCTGGACAAAGGAGAGCCTGCCCCTTCCCCGGGGAAATAAAGAACAGCTCTGTTTGTCGACCAAGTCCTGCAGGACTGGTTGGCCATGTTCGGGCAGTTTGGCCTGCCTGGGATTAAGCATCACAAGACACAGTCCTCCCCCCCCCCCCCCCCCCAAGCGCGGCCCCGGCCGCCCC